TTAAGTCAACCGAGCGCTAAGCAATTGTATTTGTTGACCCCATCCATCTAGTTCTATAGTTAACCCCTTAGGGCGCCACGGTCTGATCTTCTCCCCAATAGCTAAAGCGACCTCTTTCTTGTTGTCCCAGAAATTTTTTGTAACATCTACCAGATATATTGCCACGCGCGTTGTCCAGAGAGCTCGTGGCCCAATGGTTACCGCGCTTGCCTCTTGCACGGAGGTTCCGGGTTCGATACCAGTGAGCGGACTTCTCTTGTATTTATTCTTTCAACTTGAAATTCTCGTAAGTTCGAGAACCTTGTCGTCTGATCGGGTTACGAATGTTCTACGCGCCGAACATTCTACGCCGAATGTTCCAGAAACACACGCGGGTACAAAAGGTGCTCCGAGTGGCGGTCCGGAGTTAGTCTCGTCCCAGCGGTCGATCCTGCTGTTTCGCCGACATCGACGCCTGCGACGCTAGCCTTTGTACATTTTGTTTCTGGCACAACTTTAACCCATTAGACTTTTAGTTTGTTCAGTTATTCACCGCCTCATCATTTGTCATTCGTGACAATATCCTGCTCCTTATAGTTCGACTGCATAAAATAGCTATATGATACTTTTTTTCCTTTTTCGTTTTTTGTTGTTGCGTGCTAATAAACCATTTTGGTGACCCAGATTTTCGGAGCTGTATAATTGTCGTTGTCACTGACGTCGATACAATTTACGCAATGCGGAAGTATCTTCAAAGTAATTTAATTACATTTTTAAGTATTTGTACTCTACTTAAGATACTTTAAAGTGAATGTGACTTGAGTAGTATTTTAAATACTTTATGAGCCATTGTTTAGTAACTTAACTTAAATACTTTTATCGAGTATTTTGTCCAACACTATGGTCAGCAGCAAGCATGCGGAAAATATGCAAAAAAAGGCAAAGTATACAGTCAAACCGTTGCACATCTGCGGTTGACGTTTGTACAAACCAATGTTCACCCAAGTGCAAAACATAGAATGAAAACAAAAATCAAGTACAAAAATATAAGCGCAGGTCCTTGAAAATTGAACTAGCAAAATCAATATTAATAGTGCAAAGGCTATTCAGTAAATATGGGAGTGTGAAATTCAACATCTGATAGCCATAGTTTGTTCGTTGTGTGACCATCCTCTATTTCTCTGCGTTGCGGGTAGAATATGGAGGGGAAATTTCCCTTAACGACGCAAGTCTTTCCAAAAAACACAATCCCCTTTTTTCCCTTTTAAAACTTGTACCGAGTGTGTACTGATATAATTTATAAATGTTAATTATTTTACAAATCTTAAATAAATTGATAGAATGAAAATCAGTTGGCATTGGCATAGGCCGGTTGGCATTTCGTTCGCTTTCAAGATATATTAAGCTCAGCACACAAGAAAATGGGAAGATGGTCACTCAAGTGACAACTTATAACTCCACTGTTCACTTGATCTGTTTGAAAATTAGTTGCTTGACAAGATAGAAACCTCATCTTCACTCAGTAATGTTTCCACCGTAACTTAACAGCAAAATTGGCGATCGTCTTGTCTCGACTGTGTCATGAGCTGCAGCTGCTGAGGAAATTTGACTCGCATCATCTGTGCACCTTAGATTTCCCGAATCCACTCAGGACCACGAATATGCCTCCTCACTAGGTGCACAACAAGGTTTCCTGCATCCCACCTCTTTCTGTGAAATGTTTTCTTTGTAATAAAGTCATCACTACAGGCATTGATGCGGTTATCTTCAAAGAAACACAACGTGGTACTCTATTTAACCACTAAGATGTGAAGAAAAAATGAAAGCCGTCTACAACTCCCTGTAACGCCGAATTAGAGCGCAGCTCTTGAGGAGGAGGAGGGAAGGGTACTGGGGGGTCAGTTGACCTCGGAAAGGGGGGGGTCATGTGACCTCGGAAAGGGGGGGGTCATGTGACCTCGGGGGGTCACGTGACCTGGGGGGTCACGTGACAATGACGTCATCAGTGACATCACCGATGACGTCATCGTCATCATCACTGATGACGTCACTTATAATGTCATCGTCACGTGAACCCCAGGTCACGTGACCCCCCTAGGTCCTCCCGAGGTCCTCCCGAAGGAGCCCGAGGTCCTTCCGAGGTCCTCCCGAAAGAGCCCGAGGTCCTCCCGAGGTCCTCCCGAAGGAACCCGAGGTCCTTCCGAGGTCCACCCGGAGAAACCCGCGGTCCTCCCGAGGTCCTCCCGAAGGAACCTGAGGTCCTCCCGAGGTCCTCCCGAAGGAACCCGATGTCCTCCCGAGGTCCTCCGGAAGGCCCGAGGTCCTTCGGGAGGATCTCGGGTTCCTTCGGAAAAATTTACCCATAATGCACCGCGCAGTTACGGTGACGGCGACGGCGACGGCGACGCCGCTCAAGCCGAAAATGGGCGCCTAAGAGCTGCGCTATAAAAATGAACGAACGATGAATACTTGTTACTACTCGACGGACAAGTCCTCTTAGCAATGGCCGGATGTAAGGGGTGACATGTAATTACTGCATTTCGTCACTGAGCTTTAAATCAAAACCAGAAAGGATTTCGGATAAACTCCGAATAAAATCCGATGGATATCTTACTGAATTTGCAAAGCAAGTCCTAATATAGATTTCCCCGGCGTATTTACGAAGAAAACCGATATTATCGAACATTGGATGAACTTTTCTGCTTTAAAGTCGCGATTTCGATACATTCTGAAATCAACACTGATTGTATTAGCTTTTGGTATACATATTTAGCTTAACCAAAATTCCAACCTCAGGTATCAGCAATTTCTAAAACCCAAAGTTAGAACTAATTACAGAACTCGAGAGTTATCCTATCAAATCCCAGATGTCCCCAACAAACATACTCGCATTTATCCGCTGGCTCATATAAAATCTCTTCCGCGTTCATTAAAAAAAAAAAAAAATATTAAGAATGGCGTATTCAGCTGTTGATGTAGTGCGCTCGTAATTTTGTGCTCATTGTGCACTGGTTTCCATTCGTTCCCATGCCAAATTTGCGAGCCTGTTGCCCGAGTGCTGTATTTGTGTTTGGGACCTGGTCACGGAATTTTAATCGCCTTTTTTTCAACCGCCTTAAAATAAAAATATTTCAATGGATAAATTTTTGATGCTGATCGATTTGCCTCAAACTTCGTAACACATTAATAAACCATCTGAACAAGTAAGCCACATTGCAAGTCACAATATTTTTTTTCGCACAAGGTCATCGAATTTTTAAATTTGTTCTGAGAGGGTTTACTAGCAACGCTGGAAACGTGACGTAAGATGCTGTGGTATAGTGGGAAATATGTGTGCATTTTACAACAAGTTCCCGACGGGATACGAGAGGTATGATGGCGTGAAATAAACTCAAGTTAAGCTCGTGCAAAGAAAAAAAAACATACTAAAATAGTTTTTTTAGACTGCCTGCTTAACTTGCAGGTTATGCTATGTTCACACTACGGACGCAAAGCGCCAGTCTTTCATAAGACACGCAAACGTCAGCGCAAGAAGCGGAACTATAGTTCGTTCAGACCACGATTGTTTGTAGTCTGAATGAAATCGTTTCGTTTCCTGCGCTTACATTTATGTATATTATTAAATATCGGCGGCGTTGCGTCCGTAGGGTGAACATTGCATTAATAGACCATTTACTATATTACCTAGCATCAAGGAGAATGCAGGGATTGGTGTTCCACGTGGCACACGCGCGCGCCTTCCCCGTATAAAATATTCGAAGTAAATAACCAAAATAAAGCGTTGACGAACGCGCGTGCAAGATACACTTTGTTTTAGGTTTTTGCTTTAGAAAATGTACTACTGCTAAGGTCAGCCCGTGCGGCGCGTAGAACACCAATCCCTGCATTCTCCTCGATGCTTGGTAATATAGAAATATGTCTTTACAGCATGTGACGTCGCCCCATTGGGAAGCGCGGAAAGTTTGAACGTTGGTTTCGGTATCACATTCATCTTCCATCGTCACAATATTCATTTTGAAATCAGTAATAATAGGAAGTTTTAATAGATGGCTGTCGCCGTCCCGCAATGCTCTCCGCAACCCGCTACGGTACCCGGAACTCTACAGTTGAGCCGAAAGGAGGAATTGAGGGAGTGTTTTTTCTTTTTCTGCTTGTTGATCGGTCTTTAAGTGTAACAAATTAAAATGTACTAAAACAGTAGACAGAACCTTACCGCCGATAAGTCTAGGCTGTGCAGTTTCCGGTTTTAACCAAAAAACACCAATAAGCATTCACCGGTAACGAAAATACAAAATCGGTTAAAGCCGAAAAACACCGGTGGTTGAATAATGTTGCCCCGATAAAAACCGAAAAGCAGCAGTCATTGAATGTTTCCGTTCTAGCGACTACTATACTTTCTTCGAAACTCTTCCTCCCGCAAAGTTTCGTTAAACGTGCTAGCTCGTGGATTCTGCCTTCATAAAGTGTCCACTCTGTGGTCGCTGTGGTTCTTGGAAGACGCTGCCAGCATGAGTGTGGTCCAGGGCCACTGACCTTGGAGAACGCGTCTCTTCGCCTGGGGATGGGCTTCCGGGGCTGCGGGTTCGGTTTGATGTCACCCTGTATTCGGTTCGCTAGAACTACCATAATGGAGCTCTTCCACTTTTTTTTTTTAATATAGGGGACTGACCGCTGAAAGGCTCTCTCTACCTCGCAATCGTATAAGGTGCTGTCAGACTCCTGTCCTGCCCCTTCTACACTAAAACCCAGATTCTGTGCGCCTTTTCTCAAGTTTCGATAACAAAAAACTGAACTAAGAAAGAGCTTGAAGCTGTGCATCATTTTGGGGATCCTGAAACTAAAGTCGGTATTGCGTCTAAAAAAAAAAAAAAAACATCTTCAGCATTTGAGGTGCTTATTGAGCTCCTTCAAAATAATGAACCTCAGTTACTCTCACCGAAGTACGCCGGCGTTTAAAAATAAATAAACAGCAAATATCACTCCCTGCTTTTTATCAATTATAAACACTGGAAAATACACACCTTAGATAAATCATACGGCCCGTTGGGAGAAGAATCACCGGCCTTGAAAATTATGACCACGCAAAACCCGACAAACAGCGGAGTTATTTTCCAGCCTGTCGCCAACATTTCTGCAAAGGAAGCGCAGCCTGAAGGCGTCGGTCGAAAGGGTGCTCTGCATATGCGTATATATAGCAGTCTTGCGGAATCCAAAAATAATTTCATAAAAAAGTGATAGCTATCTCGTGTGTTGTGAGATTTTCTGCGTCGGAGTTCAGCGACTGGAGTAAATGTTCAAGATAACCTCTGTTGCACTGTAAGCGCGCTTTGTTATAAAAAAAAAAAAAAAAAAACTCAGTTCGTTGGACGTTTCTTGAAATTTAAATAGAACATAAGGGTATCCATGTCAGATCGTACAGTGATGGTTCGGATCGAATTGTTTTCCTATTTGTATAGAAAACAAACATATGTGAAACCCACGTTCTTGGGAAGAACATTTAGCTTTATTTGAGCGTTGTAGCCAACTCCGAAACTCGAAGCGTAGAGATTGCCAATGTTTTACTATGGTATTATGCCAAGCCGTCAATTTCACACCGAAATATGCACGTAGTAACAATTTTAGCTACTTACTTTATTACAGGCTTAATATATGTAAAGAGAATATTGAAAATTACAACAAAAGATTTTAATGCAAAAGAAAAAGCTACGAAACACGTCAAGTGTATTATGTTTTAGAGACACATTCACAAATTATGCACCAACAAACTACTTCATATGAAACGGGGAAAAATATATGAAAATAAGCATCTATAAGTGACCTTTATGAATAAATAAAATATATTCTTGGCCATTTTAGTAGTAGTGCTATTTATTCAAAACGGAATTGATTTATCTCAATGTCACAAAACTGCACGTTAATATTAAAAACAAGAACAGTTTTTTTTGTACCTTCCTTAATCGTTTGCAGTGTCTCGAACTAACTTGTTATGGCAAAACATTAAGTAACATATGACTCCCAAACAAGGAGAACGACAGCACACTTTCACTCAGATTGAGCTAGCTTGTCTTCGATAGGCGCTTTGCCGCACGACGTCGGCTCCAAAGAAACCGACAAAGTCTGTACAGCGGGCCGCTCTATCGTAGGATTTAGAAAGTCGTGCTGTCTTTAGCTTATATCTCTATTTATGTGTTCTTGCGTTGCCTCCTTCCGCCGCTTAAAAAATAAAAAAAAAATAAAAGGGGGGTTTCATCTTCCGCGCTCAATTTCGCGTATACGTCGAACTTAAGTTTAGACGCAGCCGAAGCTACGAGCTGATGAGACCAAGCATGAAAAGCGCATCATAATGGTGTTCGTCATGCTTCTAGACGCCGTCTATCATCGCTGGACCAATCAAAAACATAAAAGGCCTAGTGAGCTGCACTCTGAACACTGCTTGATTGTGGTGCCATTACCTCGTTGCATCGGCTGCGTCTGTACTTAAAGGAGCATTGAAGTCGATTCTGAGATTATCCTTTTGTGGTGACAACTCAGCCTAGACGCTCTAAGCATCCCAACGAACCCAAATTCATAACCGTACGTAGCTTATTTCCTCGTTAAAAGCGTGTTCAAAGATCGCGACACGCCCTTTTTTGGAAGAAATTTCTTCCGAGTGAAGTGATCGACGAAGGGTACTTGTCTGCGAGTTGCAAGCGATGGCTTCGCCCGCGGTGAAAAAGAGGAGTCTTATACGAATGTGTACTTATCAGACTCTTTTCGAAGCAAATTGTAATAAAATTCTTCGGAATTTGCGCGTATTGTAGGGCTTTCATTGGCCTAGACCATGTAGTCCGCGAGAAAAAAGAGTCCAGATGGTTTTCTGTTGCCCTGAGACGAATGGGCGGTTTTGTAATATAGGACTTGGTATATGTGGGAACTAACACATTTTAAACAATATAAAATCAAAAACGACTTTTTTAAAAAATGACTTTAGTGCACCTTGAAGAAGTTAAAACAAAATAAACCTTTCAACAAAAGGAAAAAAAAAACGAAAGAAAAAAGCCGCTTCATTTCAGCTTAAGTCCAGACGCGGCCGACGCTACAAGGTAAAAGGACCAACCAAACAGCGACAAAGGAGCAGGTCACTAGGCCTTTTCTGCTTATGATTGGTTCAGCGATGATAGAACATGTACAGAGACGTTACGAACACAATGATTGTACGCTTTTGGCGCTGTATGATTAGTTTCATCAGCCGACTCGCGGGAATTACTAAATGACGCCAACTAAACTCCTCTGCTCCTATGAATTTTTATTTTCTAAGAATTCATTTACACGTGAAAAATTACTGTGTCGTTTTATTGACTTGATAAAGGTAGCGAACTTTCGTAAACCAAACCTGTCTTCTGATATCCGCACGGCCACTATGACAGGGTTCCTGAGCTCGAATAAAATGTGGCTGTTTCCATTTCTGTTAAAACGGGGTATAATTCTATACGCAAGAAAATTTGGATTGCTGTGAATCGTCGCATGTAAATAGAAGGTAGCACTTAATCGAAAATAGGTCGCTGAATGAACGGTACTGATCGGATGAAATAATTGTTACGAAGCCGTCAAAAGACAGAACCTTTTTGTTGTCGTCGGGATTCGAACTCTGGGTCTCCTAGTTAACGGTCAGGTACGCTAACCACTGCATCACAAAAACGTCGTCTGGTGTTGGGCCCTTTCTCATACTATTGTGGCCAAGGCAGCGGTACTAACGCAAAAACTTGGGGGACGCTTAAGCTTCGCGTGTAAGTGTGGAACGCGATAGCGTTGTCGGGCCCCGTTCGCAGAGCCTTCTCATATAAACGCGTGCTCGTTGCCAAGCGGGGCAAGCATGCGTGCGTGGTCTAGTCCGTAGCGTCACGTGTCACATGACGTCATGACGTCAATTATGGCGGGAAATGTTTTCGCTAAATTTGGCGGGAAAATATTTTGCTAGATTTGGCGGGAAAATTTTTCGCTAAATTTGGCGAGAACATTTTCCGCTCAAGCTGACGGGAAAATCCCCCCCCCCCCCCCTTCCCAATTTCGCGGGTAAATCCCACAATGCAACGCGCGCAGCCATGTGTGATATCACGAGTTGCACTCGCGGCTGCGAGCTTTGCATTAGAGACTTCTTTTGGTCCCGCCGACGCCGCATTTTTTGCGACAAGAGCTCCTAAACGCTATTGCGTTAAAAAGTGTTGTGCGTCGCTCCGAACATCAGCCCGAAGACTATTTTGGGACCGCCCGTGTCCGCATGATCGCCAATCTCCTTCTAGACAACAATTAACTTGCTCTCAACTACACAACCTTGCTTTCTCTTTCTCAAGCGTCAGATTCACTTCGAAAAAGTACCGAGTTCGATCCCCAACAGGCGATTACTCGTCTTTTTTCTTCTTCTTTCTTTGTGTGTCAATTTTCAAGAGGTGGCCACTTCCGTCCCCAAGAATGGCGTACATCCTGTTCAGAGGGTACATAAGAGCCACGCCAGCCGTAAAACGCCCTTTGCTAAAAAAAAAAAAAAAAAGATGGGTTCGAGCTGGGTTCGGGTCGGGGGCTTTGTTAAAAGTAACAGTCGGGCTCGAGCTTGGTTTTACCAGGACTTAATTGGGCCCGGTCGGGTTGGGCTCTTTAATGCTGGCCCGATATGATCTATATCCTATAAACCAGTTCAATATTTACGAGTCCTCAGCCCAGCGTGCGATCTCCTGAGCCCAGCACGCGGATATTCATTGCTGCGGAAAGCGAGCAAATCACGCGCCTTACTCACGAACACTTAAAATAGAACCGGCCACGAATCTTTTTTTCGCAAAGGTCTATAGACTTTCTGCATGTGCCACAACCTTGTTGCTCGTTCGCGCGCGTAGAGCACGGGACGACACGACACGTCTCGTCTCGGGCACTGCTACCTGCCGGCGGTGCCACGAACGCTTCGGGAGATCGGTCTATTTGACGCGGAAAAATGTTGCCCCGGCGCTTTCGCACAGCGAATGCGCACGCGACATCATTGTAAGAACTTGCGGTTTAGCGAATGTGAAATCACGTAAAACAAAATGCCATATTTGTAATAAGAATAAAAATAAAGTAGATATTGCGTGTTCACCACCATTTTGAAGCATACACACGTAGAGATAATATTTTGGTGTGAATAACACATTCTGCCGTTATATGGTGTGAGGTGCCGGATACTCTTCACTGTTTTCCAAATTGTGCTGAAACGGAGTATACCGTGTTTATTTAGTAAACCCGAAAACATTTTAGATAGGAACATTCCAGTCCCCACACACTCCTACCAACCACGTGTGCACTGAACTCGCAAGGAATGCAACCGGAGGAATGTAAGGAGTGCTACACTACCGAACATTCGTTATGATGAACGCTCATGATTTTTGAACCATAAAAAAAACAAGGAAAAAAAAGAACATTCGATCGTTCTATACGAATTTAAACGCAAACCGCACCTCAAATTTTATCAAACGAAAAAATGATGATTTAACAATTGAAAGTTTCAGCACAACTACCTTGCATGCGCACAGCTGTCAAGGTGCCCAACCCACAAGAAATGCACCCTGGCGAGCGAGAACCAACACTCGTAAAAAAGAACCTATGGACGCCTTTATTTTTAAGACAGAAGAACACACATCTCCTTTACGCTATGTGATTTCAATGATTTCAACCGTGACTTACATCATATTTGTTTTATTTTGATAATTTAAATCACAATGTTTTGCTCACAAATTATTTACAAAATATTTTTTTTTACTTACAGTCTGCCTCTCATTTAATGCGTGCTATGTGCATTTATTTTCTATCTAAATTATATAATCACCGTGTGAAAGAAGATCGTAGTAGGCTAAATATACGAGCAAAAAAAAAAAAATAGTGTTCTTTGCAAATCTGAACGTCGAACTTTCTTTCCACTTGCACTTCCTTTGTCAGTTTCGTGCTCTTTCATTGCAATCAAATCAGAATGCGAAAGACACGAAAACAATAAAATAACGACAAAACAAATATAAATATAAGAAATTATATTAAAGCAGTTTTACTCGCTAAAAAATGCAAGCTAGATTAGAGCGGAACAGTTTACTGCCTTTCCTAGATGGTAGTGATAGAGCTCTGCATGGGGCCT